AAAGGCATGCTGATCAAATCTGCGGGTGACACTAAGCAATGAGAAATAGTTAAAGGTGGAAGACTGACTGATAGATTTAAACTGACCTTGACATTTTTGAAATCTAGGTTGAAATAAATAAAATAAAACCTAAAATAGTAAAATTCTGAATTAAAAGTAACAGTTGCACTAAAGTATGGTGAAAAACTTTTAACATGGGAGAACCGTATGTGGAAAAGACAGGAGTCCTTTCGTTGATCACAGGTCAATGTGAGTCAAGGGCAAGATGCTACTGCTAAAAGTCTAACCCAATATTATGCTTCATTAAAAACGTGCTTTGTGTCCGGCTGGTTACACGATTATTTTGGAAGACTGTGTTTAGCACTGGGATCTAAATCTTATGAATAATGACAGTAAACAAGATAGTAATAAATCTGAAAATGAAGCTACATGAAGAATGGTGGAAATCTGGTACTAATTATCCTGAATATGAGAAGGCTGAAAGAAACCATGATCATTATCCTCCAATGTCTGAAGGATTAGTAAGCAGAAAAGGGTACACATTTGCTCCAGAGAGAAGATCCAGGCTGACTATAGAGTACAGAAATAAATATTTTAAACCCAAAATAAGAGACAGAATTTTAACAATTAAAATTGCCCTAGCAGAAGAGCTTGAGTAGCCACGAACACTATACCACTGAAAATAATTAAGCAAAACCTATCAGTGGTTCTCAAATGCCACATTAAAAAAGCATGGGCCCCATTGCTGGAGTTTCTAATCAGTGTGTTTGGGTGAGGATTTGTTCATTTTAAAATTCCTCACTAAATTCTAATATACAAGCTAGTTTTAATAAACACTGTGCTAGATGACCTTTCAATTTTATAAATATTTATAGAAAGCATACAAACATAAGGCCATTCTAGGCATGGTTTGACATTATATGTTCAGGTTAACAATACACAATTACTACTGTGAAGAAATGGAAAATGTAACTGGCAAGACATACCTGCACAAAACTCAAAGTAATATAAGATGGCATGGGTATCTCTTATGACTGATAGACAAAGGTACCCTGAATTTGAGTTAGTAACTGGTTCACTAAATGTTCCTAGACCATGTGATAACACATAAATACTTTTTGATTTGCTTTCATTAAGAAGCAGAATTAGGCTGGGCATGGTGGCTCACTCCTGTAATCCCAGCACTTTGGGAGGCCAAGGCAGGCGGATCACAAGGTCAGGAGTTCAAGACTAGCCTGACCAACATGGAGAAACCCCGCCTCTACTGAAAATATATTTTTTTAAAAATTAGCTGGGCATGGTGGCACAGCCTGTAATCCTAGCTACTTGGGAGACTGAGGCAGGAGAACTGCTTGTACCCTGGAGGTGGAGGTTGCAGTGAGCTAAGATCACACCATTGCACTCCAGCCTGGGCAACAAGGGCAAAACTCTGTCTCAAAAAAAAAAAAACCAAAAAAAACAAAAACGCAGAATTAAATATCTGTTAAGTCTTTCTAATCACCAAGCCAGAGAGACTGAATCTTGCTGAATATCCAGTTAAAAGGGAGAAAAAGAAAAGTAGTTAAGTACAGAAAAAAAACCCCAAAAAACAAAACAGGAAAAAAAGCAGCTCAGTATATTGGGAAGACCATGGAAAGGAAATCCCAACCATTTTATTTTCTTTTACTTTCTGTTTCCTTCTTCCTTTCCTTGCTCCATTCCTTTTTCTTTCCTTCCTTTTTAAAGTAGCCTTGAGATAATGCTCAGGTGTAAGCTTTAACAACATAATCTTTTAGGGGGATAAGGTACTGAAAATAGATAAGGGAATTGTCAATTGTGGCTCTAAGAATTTTTACAAATTGGGTGTGGATGGCAGAAAGTAATGACAGCAAATGTTTAAATATTTATCAGGTATCAGAGGTTTTGGAAACCTCTATCTAAGGAGTCAATGTAGAAAAGATGAAGGATGAAAAAAAATGGGTAAGGGAATTTGCATAATAAATAGTGATTTTTTTGGTAATTTCTGACAGAGCAGTTTGAACAATTGTTCTGGTAGAACACTCTTGAAGATATAAATCAAACTGTAAAAGTTAAGGAGATAATTAATATATCAGAAATAGACTACTTGTTAGACATTGGCAGTTAAAAGGATAACAGGTAAACATTTTATGTTTAGCATTGTACTAGCAGTTTTAAAGATAAAAATGTAGGAGAGAAGATGCCTGGTCTCATTAAACTTAGGACTATTTATGAAGCTTTACGTAGATATATTCAAAAATAAAGAGTAAAAAACTTTAGGTATCATTAAAAGTCTCATTACACACAGAGACCAAGTAAGCTGTTTTGTTTTAGTTAACAACTCAAATACATATGAGATAATCTGAAATTAACTTTTTACGAACACATATTCACCTGGAACTTCAGCTTCTCCCTTTCTGTAGCATCTTTTAGTTGCTGAATTTCAAATTTGTATTTCTGGATTTCTTGATTAATTGTGGTTACTTGCTTACAGACAGCACCTCTTTTTTCTTGAACTTTATTGCAATCCCTAAAAGAAAATAGAGACAGCTAATATTTAATCCTCTTTAGCAATTAAAAAGGCAAACACAATTCTAGTTTTGATTCCAAAGTGACCACGTGTCAGTATTTGACAAACCTAAAACTCTTCTCAAGTTATAAAAGCAAATGCACGAAAACCCCAAAGTATGGTGATATAATCACATCATTACATAGAGTGAACTCTTTCTCCTAATATATTAATGAGATTCTTTTTCTCATTGGTGGGTTAGCGAATGAGTAAATAAATACATTTTTTAAATGAAGATTTTTAAGTTACATTTCTCCAGTTGTACACACTTAGGTACTGTTGGTGGGAATGTGAATCAGTTTAACTTTTCTACAAGGCAGTTTGGCAACAGATACGAAATCCTCAGGTTCTGTCCTTTTTCATCTCCATGAGAAAGTCTGAAGGAAATACTCAGATGATCGCTAACGTACCTTTTAGGAACTGAAGGATTGACATCAGACATATGTGGGGCAGATATTTTAAAAACACATTCTTAGAACGGATAGGTACTTTACCAATAAAGTACTCCAACATACCAGCTAAAAACATGTACTTAGTAAAGTATTACTTCTTACCTGAATATAAGACTTTTTGTCAAAACACAAATGCTGTAACTCTACAGACCAGCTGGACTATAAGATAGGCCAGTTAGTTCATTCTGATGCAGGTCTAGACCACTATCTCTAAAGTGCACTGAAATAATCAGTAAGTAGCATCAGAACCATTCTGAAGAACGATGCAAAGGAATTGGAACTGTGTATCTAGGAAAAAAATAGCTAAGATACCTCGAAATCTAATTTGGAAGTATAAGTTTCATAATTAACTCATATGTTTTAGTCAACTAAAGCTGAAATAAAGATAAAACTGTTTAAACTCTTTGAAAATACAGAAGTTTTGAAATCCTGGGGGGTGAGGGGGAATGTATTTGGTTTTCATAATTGCTTTCTAATACGCTAAAATTGAAAACAACTTCATACTCAATTACTGTGCGTTTGTATTGCTTAACATCTTCGTGCTTCTTATTTATTTTGAACTGCACTGTGGCAAGTTTTTCCTTCTTCACAATCATCAGTCTTTTGAACGAATTTTCTTCAGTCTTCAATTTCTTCAGTTCTGACTCACCACTCTCAATTTGGTCCTCCAAGTTCAGGCTCTGTGTTTTATAAGAAGTATTAAAAGTCAATATAGCAAATTAGGATTTATAAATACAAAGAGAGAGTATTTTCTAGGATGAACTATAATTAAACACAATTTTAAACAGAGATAAAACTCTTTAAAGCCTGAAAACCCAGCAGAAAAATGCAGATGAACCAAGAGAGACAACAGGGAGGCCCTGGAGATACTGAGAAAGGACATGACAACGAGAGAGGTGTTTTCACCATGTTATTGTATCAGCACAGACTGAAAGAGAGACATACTAAGATTAGCTGAGACTAGAGTTGAGGGGCTTAGGATCTGAACTAAGATTAGCTAAGATACTGGAGTTGAGGGGCTTAGGATCTGAACTAAAGTAGTAAAAATAAAGGGAAAAGGGTAGGTGCTAGAAGCAACTCAAAGCAGTAATCACTTTTGGGTGACTCGATGGCGGATGAGGGGACTGTGTAGTTAGGAAAGAATGCCTGGGACAATCTCACCTTCTCATTCCTACTTATCTCAAAAAAGAAACTGTTTATCAAATGTAATGTTAGTGATCCTGGAGGCACAGTCTGGATGAGGATGAGCAAGTTAAGAAGTGAAAAAGGTGGCAGGGCATGGTGGCTCACGCCTATAATCCCAGCACTTTGGGAGGCTGAGGCGGGTGGATCACGAGGTCAAGAGATCGAGACCATCCCAGTCAACAAGGTGAAACCCCATCTCTACTAAAAATACAAAATTAGCTGAGCACGGTGGTGTGCGCCTGTAGTCCCAGCTACTCGAAAGGCTGAGGCGGGAGAATTGCTTGAACCCAGGAGGCGGAGGTTGCGGTGAGCCGAGATCGTGCCATTGCACTCCAGTCTGGGTAACAACAGCGAAACTCCATCTCAAAAAAAAAAAAAAAAAAATTTGTTACCCAGACTGGAGTGCAGTGGAATGATCAGAGCTCACTGCAGTCTTGATTTCCTGAGTTTAAGTGATCCTCTAGCCTCAGACTCCCAAGTGACTGGAACTACAGACATGCACCATCATAGCTGGCTTTTTAAATTTTTTGTAGAGATAGCATCTTGCTATGTTGCTCAAGGTGGTCTCCAATTCTTAGCCTCAACGGTCCTCCTGCCTCAACCTCCCAAAGTGTTGGGATTACAGGCTTGAGTCACCATGACCAGCCGTAACTGAGGAAGTGACTCATCGCTTTGCCCAGCACATTCCTGCACATACACTACTTGCTCTTTAGTCATCAACTGCCTACTGTCGACATCATAGTGCCTTGAGGATCTAGGATCACCTGAAGCAGATGATCCTTACTCTGATGTACGGTCAGAAGATTAACGGTAGCCTAACAATATCTCACTTCAATTTTTTATGCAGGCATTTTATCATCTCATATCATCACAAGAAGGGTGAGTACAGCACAATAAGATATTTTGAGATAGAGACCACATTCACATAACTTTTACTACAGTATATTGCTATACATGTTCTTTCATTAGTAATTATTGCTAATCTCTTACTGTGCCTAAGTTTTAAATTAAACTTTATTATAGGTATAGATGTGTAAGAAAAAACATATATATAGGGTTGTTACTATCCACAGTTTTAGGCATCCCCTGGGGGTCTTGAAATTAATCCCCTGAGGATAAGGAGGAGCTACTGTACTATTTTCCAAAATACACATGGCAATGTGCTAAGTTAGTTATTATTAATTTCATCTGAAGGTTAAAAATTGGATCTTGTAACTGCTGTATTTAAAAAGAAAAGTGTCTTTTTTTGTGGCATACACCGCCATATCTATTATATTGTAGAATGACCCTGCTATTCTTTAGGAAAACAGTAACAAAAAGTGAAAGCAAAATCCAAGGAACTATAGTAAGCTGTTATATAATGAAGACATAAAAATTCCACATAATACAAACCTCCTTTAAGATACTGGCTAATTTTTCCTTATTATCTGAAAGGTCCTGTATTTTCTTTCGATATAACTGCACTTCCAACTGACATGAAGGTAGGCAGTCAACTGAATCTCCATAGAGTTCATATTTCTCTACCACTTCTTGCTTTGAAAGACAAAAAACAAAGACAATAGTTTGATATTCTTTATGAAGCTGCAGTAATATGAATTTGTTTGCTCTTAATTTCTGCATTTAATACCGAAACCTTAAGAGCAGGGAAAAATTAAATTTCTAGGTCAGTAATACAGCACTATTACTGACATGTGTTTAAGCACAAATAATTGTTTTTTAATTGCCATGTATCTTCAAACAAAGGAAAATTGCCACAGTTTTACTAAATTACTCATTGAAATACCTTCCAAAGTTATTCATGATGATATTAAAATAGTTTATTTTGCTAATACTCAAACTATTTCTGATTACTACTGGGCAATCAATCATAGTATTCATTTATAATCTTCCTATTCATTTGTAAAATAACTACCACTACTACCGCTAATTCTTTTACAAAGATTAACTCCTCTTCTAAAATTGCAAAATGAACATATATTTACCACAACCATGGTAACAATACAAAAACTCCTTCCCTTTATCCCCACTAGCCTACTCCTTGTTCTACCTTATTTTTTACCTTTTTCTTACTAATTTGTAAATACTCTTTGCAAATCATGGATATAATCACTCTACTTTTCATATGCACTGTAATTGTGTTCTAACATGTCTACTTTTCTGTATAGATTTTGTTTCTAATCTTAATTTAAAAAATCTATCCAAGTTCAAAATTATATAAATGTTTTCCTAAAATCTGTAAAACTTAAAATTTTTCATGTAAATTTTTAATCCATATAAAATTTATTTTTGGAGAAGAGCAAAGTGTAGGCCCAACTCCCTTTTATTCTAGATGAATAGATAATTGAGCCAGAATTGTTTCTTAAATAAATCATCCTTTTCTCATTAATACTCAAACCTATTTCTGGGTTCTCATTTCTGTTCTGGTGATCTATGTCTATTCTTGTGTGATAATCTTAACTTCCAAGAATGAATTAGATAACAAATTCAAAGATAAACCACAAATGTGTTTAAAATTAGTAATTTGAAAACCTTGTTTCACAGAAGATGCTAAATTGTCTACCCACTTCTAAATTTCTTTTGCACTATGCCAGTCCATCTCCTACCATAATCCATCATCTTGAACATACCTTACTCCCTACTGCCCCACAGAATTCACATATGCTATTTCCTCTGCCTTGAATGTTCTTCCATACACAATGAATTGGGCCTTGGTACTGCTATGTTTAAAAAGAAGAGTCTTTTCTTTTTAATGCTACCTTCTGAAGAATGGTAGCAGTCTTCCGTCCCTCTTCCACCTGCACTTCCAGTCCAAGACTAAACTGGGCTCCCCTTATTACATTACTTCAAAGCACGCTATACTTTCTGTCCTCTCTTTCTGATACTAATAATAGATTTTAATTTTTCAAGCAGTTTGACATTCACAGCAAAATTAATCAGAAGGTACAGAGATTTCTCATCTGCACACAGGTATAACTTATATTTTGTTATATACTGTAATTTATAATTGTTTGCAAAATTATTTAATACTTTTCTCCCTTGTAATAAAGTAATTAAGTCTCACAAGGACACAGCATTTCTGTTTTGATCTCCCAGAGCAAAGACTCAAAAAACTGTTGCATAATTGAACAAATGTCTTGAAATTATATTTATTTTCACCATATCCACTCTAGAGAAAAGCTACAGATTAGAAATGCCAAAAAAGTTTAAGAGGAAGAGAAGTATACATAACTCAGAAATCCACAAACTAACAAATAAATTAAACAAGAACTTGCTAAAATTTTGTTTTTAAAAAGATACAAAAACATTAACATAAAAAGAAAACTCACCCTGGCATTTTTAAGCTTCTGGACTTTATCTTTCATTTTTTCTTTATAATTCTTTAGCTTCTCTGGAGAATCCACAATTTTTGTTTTCAAATTCTCTTGTATTTCTTTCAGAGAAACAACTGACAATTTTAGTTCATTCTGTTGAGAAAAAATTTTTATATATTAGATATAAGAATAAACTTGGCAATTTACCATTCTTCTAATGGAAAAAAACAAATTAGGTCCATGTTCTCTGTAATGGGAGTAAAATTAAATTCTGAACACATCACTTACCTACTTCATGGCTCACATCTGTCTACAGGCCAAAGATCAAACTCTTTAACAGCACACTCAAAGCCTTTCATTACCATGGCTCTTACTCTCTTCCTGTCACGTTGCATCTCCCACCAGTTCTGTACTGCACCCTATAATCTTGAAATAACTAATCTTATGTTTAGACAAAGATAAGTGATCTTTCTTTGACCAGTAGGGTCCTCCTAGAATATCATCATTCCACTCCTGTCCACCTGCTAAATTTGTATTGATCCCTCAAAATCCTCCTCCCATTTTCTCTACATTTCTTCTTTAAATAGTACAATTATTGTATATGCAATTCTATAATTATATATTTAACTTGTCTTTCAAAATTGAGCAAACTGCAGTTGTGAAAAGTTATTCTGATTCTCCCTGTACCCAGATGAAGTTACAGCACTGAAAAGGTGCAGAATACATGCTTGCTGAATCAAAACAATTCCCTTCTCCTGAATTTCAGAATTGAATATAACTATTCAAAGAATCAAACTGAAGGATAACTGGAAATCCTCTTGAAAATTTGGTGTAAGTCTAAACTATGTCAAAAAAAATTTCTATGAATTTTCTTCCCAGATATTTGTTGGTAAGTTGTATTTACATTGTTTTTGGACCCTCTATGACTCTATGTACTGACAAGAAAGATTTTCCAGAAATATTAAGTGAAAGAACAAATTTACAGATCAACATATAACACAAATACATTTCTATAAAAACAGAAGAACAAAATAGTGACACATGATTATGTGCATCTATATGTATATGCATACAATGTCATGAAAAAAGGGCATAGTATTACCTCACAGTAAAATGAGCTGAGAGAAGACCTTTTACATTTTGTACCCTTCTCTCTCTCTATATATATATGTATGTATACTCCCCTCTCTATATATACATATATATGTATGTATATGTCTATGTAAAGAGAGACTATTCCATAACAGGAATGTATTACTGTATGGCTTGTGTAATTTGCCTAAATATTTCAAAAAGATTCTTACTTTTTGATCAGCTAACTCAGAGGCCAAAACTGAATGTTAGATATTAATGCATTCTTGTAATTTCTGTATATTTTGTTATTTTATTCTTAGAGTTCTGAAAACCACCACACTATTCTCTTTTAATGCTCTACAAGATTGGAGGTTATTTGCTTTACAATACTGTTAACTTTCATCATTTTTCTCTCTAAGTGGTCTAAACTTGATTAAGTACAAAGTGCTTAGTTTAACTTGGATTTAAATGGGACAGAAAGAAGTAAATAATAAAATTGAGCCATAGTAAGTACTACTCAGATGAAAGCATTTGCCAATTTAAAAAAATGGTAGAAAAATAAGAAAAATATAATACCAGAGTAAGTTTCTCAAGGATCTAAAGTATACATGTTTAAATAATAAGAAAACTATAAAAATACAATGAGAAAATATAGTATTAAACAAATAATCTGATGAATGGGGCAAGCCTTTCTATACACAGAATTAAAGCCAAAAACCATAAAGGCCATATCTACAAATGTTACTACATAAAAACCTAAAATTTTAATGGGAAAAAAATTATAAATTTGAAAGAAAAATAAAAAGAGAACTAAAATCCCTAATTCATATGGAGTTTCTTAAAAAAATAAATAAGCAGCCAGGCGCTGTGGTTCATGCCTGTAATCCTAGCACTTTGGGAGGCCGAGGAGGGTGGATCACTTGAGGTTAGAAGTTCAAAACCAGCCTGGCCAACATGGTGAAACCCCACTTCTACTAAAAATACAAAAAAATTAGCTGGGTGTAGTGGTGGACGCCTGTAATCCCAGCTACTCTGGAGGCTGAGGCAAGAGAATCACTTAAACCCAGGCGGTGGAGGTTATAGTGAGCTGAGATTGAGCCACTGCACTCCAACCTAGGCAAAAGAGTGAGACTCCATTTTAAAAATATTAAATAAATAAATAAGCAAGGTACACAAACAAGTAATTTACAAAATAAGAAATACAAGAAATCACTGAGCAAGATGGCTAAAATCACTAGAATTAAAAGAATTAAATTAAAACAAGATTTCTTTCAATATAAAAGTAACAAAGATTTAAAAAACCTGAAAACATCCAATTTTGGCAAGAGTGTAGCTAAAGGGACAGTCTCATGTTCTAATGGTAGGAATATAAACTAGTATCTTTCTAGAAATCAATTTGGCTGCATTGGTCAATTTTACATGTGTATTCCCTATGACCCAAAAATCCTAAACAAAAAATTTATTTTAAATAAAAGCAGCCTATTGCAGATATATGTATGTACATATGTATGCATATAATACACATATACATATATTTCTGTTTAATAGCAAAAAATTAGAAACAATGTAAAAGTCTATCAATAGGGGATTAAAAGGATCTATATGATAGCACATACATATAATGCACAACTAGATACAAGCATTAATATAATGAGGGTCTATTTAAAACTCATAACTGTACTATATTGCTCAGTGAGGAAAAAAGCAGGTAAGATGTATTGAGCATAATATCATTTATGTAAAATTACGTATGTATATTTACATTTGCATGGGAAATACAATCTTTGATATATATCAGATTGTATAGTGAGCTTTCAGGTGACTTACTTTCTTCATACATTTCTGTGTTTTGATATTTTATAAATATCAGCTATTATATTTAAGTTGAAAAAGACTTAGTTTCATTTTCAGGGGAAAAAGGGAGAAACATTTGACTATAATAAGACACACAGCTAAAATACTCCTCCACACAATATATATTCAAACTCTAAATGCTAGTGAAAAGAAAAGATGTTTACCAAACGCTTGGTTTTCTCTGAAATATTTGACTTCTTTTGGGAATTTCCCTCTTGCAGCACTATCTAAGGGAAAAAGCAAACAAATGTTTTATAATGATTCAAAACATCTAGATTTGGCCACTCACTGTTGTCTCATAAAATTAAGGTAAGAAAGGAGTCAAATGTGTTAGATCAGATATTCTTCAAACTTTCTCTGTTCATGACACTCCTAAGCCAAAAGAAAAATCTAAGACTTCCTTTACTAAGTAGTTAAGTCCAAATAATGGCATAAGTATTTATGTCCTAACGTTGTAGCCCTTTGAAAAATAATACATATATAAGCTGAAAGAAAAAATTTTTATTTTGTTCTTAAATAACCTCAAGTTCTTAATTAGATGTATGTACCTATTGGGCACTGCATCAATTCACATACCTTGGAGTGCATATTTCAGATTGGATATAGATATTCTCATTTACTGTGCTACAATGATTTTTACATTGCACTTGCTTTTATCACAGCAAATGGCAAAACCCAGCTTCACAAGGGTATGAAAAAAATGTGACCAAATAATGAAACTGAACTACCTGGAATTCAAGAAGGATATGACAGATGCTGACTACTACAGTGTTTCTCTTGAAAATTTAAGATTATTTGGAGGCATTCTTCAGGGTTTACTGCAGTATTGAGGGTGCCACAATGCAAAGCAGCGAAATTAGACCTAGAAGAACCCTAAAAAATTCTATTCAATAAGATAACAAAAAACTTTGGCAAGAAACACCATCATGGTTCTAGATGGTTGAGAGAACTATGTATCCCTTATAAGGGGTACAAATGGGCACAGAAATATATTCTTTTTCTTTAGTAACAGAGAAGGCATGTTCTGTTACCTCCACTATATGTCCCACCACATCTACAAACAAATTTTATTTTTTTCATTTTAAGGTGCCTCACAAGAGATACCGTTTTTTGATGAAAATCCTGATTTAGTGATTGCTGCAGCTCCTGAATATCATCTGAAAGTTGCTTGAACTCTTCTTGCTCTTCAACTGGAACAGAACTTAAGACAGCAAAATAGATTAAAATACTGTTTATTGAGTTCTTCACTTTTGAAAGGCTAAAATGAAATACCTGTCCTCAAATAACTTAGATGAAGAAATTGTCTACTTTTATGTTTCTGAATTACACCCTTTCATGTGGCAACCATTTTAACTGAATGACCTGGCCTCTACTATAGGGCGAAAATGAAAATCAAAGGAGCTTCTTCAGTTTTCTATCATAAAATCTAGGGATCCATCCACATACATACCTACTTTTTCTTACTTCGCTCCTAATAAAATGAATATAGTATTCCTTCTGGTAATGCTAATTTCCCTACCTCTACACTGGCTATCATCGCCTCACATCTCTTATTCCCATATCATCCAATCTTCTGCCACTCGTCCTTCCTTACAACACTTACACATGTTCAAGTCTCTTCTACATGAATGTTTTCAAACAGTTTTGCCTATCTGATATATTAGCTGTTTTTATATAAACTCCCTGTTTATAGCCGTTGTCTCTTTTTTTAAAGTAATCCTTTTCCCATCAGTTTATAGGGCTGCTTTGTATATTAGAAATATTACAACTCGAATTTATCACAGTTGTAATATTTGCTTTGTGGCATGTACTGAAAATATTCTCTCCGCCTTGTCATTCTTCTTTTGATTGAGTTTGTGGTATCTTTTACCCTTTTGTAGTCTAATGTCTGCCTGTCCCCAGTCTTTTCCACTTACTGCTGCATGTAAAGGCAATGTTAACCAGGGGCAGGTTAGAAAAATCTCTCGCCTGAAATAGATAACCTCAAAAACATCTACAGATTAAAAGACATTTTAAAAATCCTGCTCAAAATCAATATATATATATATATATAAGGAAGACCAAGAAATCATAACTGTTGAGTGATTCTTTCCCCTACATTACCTATAAGTCAAAAACAGCACAAATAAACAAAAAATTCTGTTGTAGAAGTAAACATTTGATGGAATCAACTGATCTGAAGGAAGACAGTTCAGTTATTGCTCATCTACATAAGACAATATTCCAGATACAAATTAGGAGAGTAAGCTAATGGCTTTAATCAAGTCAGGCTAACACATTAACAACAACAACAAAAGCTAAAGAATGTATTACATAGTTAAGAGTTAGACAGAAGAAAAACTCGTTTTTCTTTTCTTTTCTTTTTTTTTTTTTAGAAAAGACAAACTCAAATACTCTGCTATTTATTATGGAAGATAACAGAGACTTAAGGTGAACTATAGGGTTACAATACTACTTACAATTCATTTTGCATTGTGAAATTGCATTTATCTCACTTGTAAATCTCCCACTTACTCAAGTCTCTCCAGTTTCATTAATGCCTCCTGGTGTGCAGCATTTAACTGTTGCATTTTGTCCGCAGAGGATTTCTATTAAGGCAATTTTAATCATCTCATATTAATGCATTTCAACAAAATCAGTGTGTCCAAAATGCTTACTCACAATATAGTTATAACCATCAGAAATAAGAAATTTAAGATAGAGTTAGGCCTTCATGACAAATGAATTAGGAATTTCTTTACTTAACACAAATGTTGACTTCTCATCATAGGCCCTGAGCTCAGTACTGAGAATTCTCAAGAAGACCAACTTACAGGTCTCGAACTTAAGTAGCTAAGTCTCCCTGAAGAGTCAGATACATGAATAAAAACCCACAAAATAGCTTGTTATTTTTAATATAATTGGAACAAACAAGAATGACATCTTAGGTAATGGCTGGGAAGAAGGGTGATAGGGCTTCATAGAGGTGATACATGTCTGAGCTGTGTCTTAAAGATAGTGGAGTAATTAACCAAGCAAAGTTATGAGGGTATGTGTATGTCAGCACATGAATGTGGTAACCTTTGAAGATTATATGATGTTTAGAAGGTATAAGCTTAGCATGATTTGTTCAAAGAAGTATTGATCTATATAGCTCAGTGAAGCTGGAGCCTAGGGTCTAATTGTCTGGAGTTACTCTGGTGCTCTTCTAAGAGTATGGTACCCCATTACTAAAGATAAATGGGAAAAATCACACAGATGACCTATAATCTTCCCAAATTCTCTAAATTGTTGATAGAAGGAAAATGAGTTTCTATCTGCTAAAGTGATTGCCTTGGACTGAATCTTATAATTCAATACTGGGCAAGCATGATAAACACCACGACAAGCAGTCCAATTAGGCCATTATTTAAAAGGCAAATATAAACCTCAAATATGTAATGAAAGCTACACTATCTAAGCAAACTGCAAAGAAAAAAATGTAAACAGCAATATTCTCTTCTCTAACAATTCCTAATAGAGGAAAACAAGCCTCTGCTACAAGATTTTAAAACCAACAAAACTCAGCCTCTCAATAATGTTACCAAATTTTAAAGAAAATCCCGCTCTGAGATATGCTTTCCAGTAACTAAAATCTGCAAGTTTATATAAATATAAAAATAAATTCAATTCTAAAGGCAATACAGCAATTTGCTATCTGTGACAATCATTTCAAAACAAGTTAAAATTTAATAAATAATGTTACTAATCTGGCATGTAATCTAAAAACATATTTAAATCTTACATATTGCCAAAGAAATTCCATATACGTCTCACGGCATGCTTCTCTGAAGTGAATAAAGTTGATAATGCCACTTAAAAACCGACTTGTCCGTTTTGCCTCTAAAATAGAAAGCAAGACTCTTTAAAAAAATCTTTGAACAAACATAACATGAAAATGAAAATTATCCTCTTTCACCATATACTCTGCTCATAATATGTAACTGTATAGGATGTAATGAAGTGTAGAAAATATGCTCTAACTTAAAGGTAAGAATTATCTTTGTATTAGTAACTTAAAAAAAAAAGGCAAACCACTTTTGGTCATGTAGGAATAACAGAAACCAGAATTACCCTCCCATTTTAAAAAACTAGAAAAACAAAAATTCATGAAGTAACAAAAATTTTAGATGCTGAACAACAGGCAATATAGGACAGCAGTCTCAAAGAGAAACAAATGAGGTGAGCCCTATTAATGCACCAGCCCATGACTGAAGAGTTTTCAGGCTGTACTCCAGAGAAAAAGAACACAAACAAAACTTGCATGTCTTGCTGGGTGAAGATAGAGTTTAGAGTTTGCAAAAGCAAAGCAACTAGGATTTGTGGAATTGAGTATAGAGAGGAGGAAGCTGCAGAGAGAAAGAGTTTTGGAAATCTGTAGAGGAATCCCCCCAAGTTCTCAGTTGAGTACTAATTAGTTCATGAATATTTAGAAACTACTAAGGCCAGGAAAACAACCAAAAATATTTGAAGGAATAAAAAAAAATCCAGCAACCAAAAATGTAAAATTCACAATGTCTGCCATCTGCTAAAAATAACCAGACATGCTAAGAAAAAGGACAACATGACCCATAATAAGAAAATGAAATCAATCAACAGAAACATACTAAAAAATAACACAAATAACATAGATAATAGATTTAGTAGATAAAAACAGCCTTTATAAATATATAAAGAGGGCAGAGAAAACAATCAGCACTACGAAGAAATAAAAGATTTTTTTAAAAAAGATCTGAATTAAACTTTTAGAGTTGAAAAATACTTGAAATAAAAATTACACTGATGGGAATAACAGTAGATTAGACCTAAAATAAAAGGATTCATGAAATTGAAGACACAATAGAAGTTATTTAAATTAAGTCCTGAGAGAAAAAAATGAATACAGTTATCTGTGAACTGGGAGACAATATCAAGCAGCAAAACTAATGTGTAATTGGAATCCTACAAAAAGAAGGGGCAAAAAAACTATTAGAGAATAGTTGAATATTTTCCATATTTTATAAAAACAATAACCAAATCCAAGGAAGTGAACATATCTAAATGGGGGGCAAGGGTAGAGGGGGAGGGAAGAAAGAAGAGAAAAACAGACAAAAAACCAAAAAACACCCAAAAGTCACATTATACTAAAACCGCGAATAGCTATAAGGCAAAAAAATAAAGAAATCTTACAAGCAGCCATAGAAGAAAACAAAACACATTATGTAGAGAGAAACAAAGAAAAGAAAAGCAATAGACTTCTCATCAGAAGCAGTGCAAGCCCAAGACAATGGAGCAATATCCTTAAAGCACTGAAAAATTGTCAGCTAAGAATTCTATAGTGCACTACTTCAGTATCTGCTGGACATTGGTTCCAGGATGCCTAGAGAACCCAAGTCTATGGTGCATCAGTCCCTTACATAAAATGGCATAGTGGCTCATGCCTATAATCCCAGCACTTTGGAAGGCCAAGGTGGGCAGATCACAAGGTCAAGGGATTGAGACCATCCTAGCCAACATAGTGAAAGCGCTTCTCTACTAGAAATACAAAAATTAGCTTGGTGTGGTGGCACACACCTGTCATCCCAGCTACTCGGGAGGCTGAGGTAGGAGAATTGCTTGAACCCAGGAGGTAGAGGTTGCAGTAAGCCAAGATTGTGCCACTGCACTCCAGCCTGGCGACTGAATGAGACTCTGTCTGAAAAAAAAAAAAAAAAAAAGGCATAGTACAGTTGGCCCTCCATATCTGTGCATTCTGCATCTGCAGATTCAACTAATTGTGGATTTAAAAGTTGACTCTTCCCATCCACTGAGTGCTCAAGAAAAATACCTTTATTTATCTATTTTTCTTTCTCAATAAGATGTGGGTCTCACTCTGTTGCTCAGGCTGGGGTGTAGTGGCACAATCACATCTCACTGCAGCCTCGAACTCCTGAACTCAAGGGATTCTCCCATCTAAGCTGCTGGAACAGCTAGGACTACAGGTCTGTACCACCACACCTGGCTCGTTTTTTAAATTATTTGTAGAAAAAGGACCTTGCTATATTGCCCAAGCTGGTCTCAAACTCTTGGCTTTGAGTAATTCTCCCACCTTGGCCTCACAAAGTGATGGAATTATAGGTAAGAGCCACTGCACCTGACCTCAAGGAAAATACCTTTCAAAATTTAAAGTGAAATAAAGGCTTTTAAACAGCACTACAAGAAGTATCAAATAGAA